AATCGCGGATAATGATCTTTTGGCCCATGAACTGCTTTCATATATGTCTTCGTCATCTTCTAAGCTCTATTCTGCAGCTTTGAAGCTTGACATGAATAAGTCTTATGATAGGGTCAGTTGGGATTTTCTTTGGGATGTGCTCCGTAGGTTTTGTTTTCCGCCATATTGGGTTCATATCCTGCAGCAACGTGTTACTACTGTTTCATATCAAATTATGTTTAACAGTTCTCCGTCTCAATCTTTTCTTCCTAAATGTGGACTAAGGCAAGGAGATCTGTTGTCTCCTTACCTCTTTTTGCTGTGTACGGAAGTGTTCTCTTTGATGCTTCGGCGTGATGAACAGAGGGGTTTACTTCAAGGACTTCGGATTTCTCGTCGGGCTCCTTCTATTTCTCATCTGTTTTTTGTAGATGATGCGCTTCTGTTTTTTTGGGCTTCACCGGTAGCTTGTGATAATATTCTTGATGTGATTAATGAGTTTTTTTCTGTTTCTGGTCAGATGGTTAATCTACAGAAGTCCTTTGTTAGATTTAGTTCTAATACTCCTTATGACTTCCGAGACTATCTTTCGACAAAGCTTAAAATGACTTCTCGTTCTTCCATAGGGGAAAACTTGGGACTTCCTGTTGACATGGACCGGAGCAATTGTAAGAGCTTTTAGTTTATGATTGATAAGTTAGTGCGGCATCTTTCAGTCTTTTCTTCTCTTCGGCTTTCGGCTAACGTGAAATTGGTGGTTATAAATTCTGTTCTGATAGCTCCTTTCAATCATGTGCTTTCGGTGTTCAAGGTGCCTGCTACGGTTTGTGATAGGGTGGACTCTCTTCTATTACGGTTTTGGTGGAGGTCTGGGAAAGATTCTAGGGGTTTGGCTATGGCTCCTGCAGCTGTTGTTTACCTCCAAAGGGTTTGGGAGGTTTGGGTGTTCGTCATCTCCGGTCTTTTAATGTGTCTCTGCTTGCTAAACAGTCTTGGCGTTTAAGGCATAATCCTCAACTCTTAGCTTCCCGGGTCCTTAGAGCTAAATACCCTTCTCTTCTTCAGCACAAGGCGGTTATATCCTGTAACCGACCTTCTTGGGGTAGTTGGGGACTTTTAGAGGGAAGCTCTGTTCTTTCTTCAGGAATTGCTTAGAAGGTTGGTGTTGGGAGTAATATTAGTATTTTAAATGATTGTTGGGTTCCCAATGTTAGGGTTGAGTTTAAGGATTCGGTTCCAATTCATGCTCGACCTTCCTTTGTGTCGGAGTTGTTCCTTTTCAACTCGTCTAGTTTGAATCCTTCCCTGGTTAGATCTCTTTTTCCCCCTTCTGTTTCAATTTCTATTCTTGGTCTAGAGCGTCCTATGAGGGAAGTTGATGATTTTGTTTATTGGAAATATATGCGGGATGGTTCTTTTCTACCAAATCAGCCTACTTACATATTTTATCTAATCATTTTGCTTCCCCTGTTACTTTGCTCTCTCCTACATGGTGGAAACGCTTATGGGGTTGTCCTATTCTCCCTAAGTGGAAGATGTTAGCCTGGAAGACCATTCATAATGCTTTACCTACAATGGAAACACTCTCGAGACAAGGTATTCAACTAGATTTAACTTGTATTTTCTATCATACATTTGATGAATTCGTGGCTCATTTGTTTCGAGACAGCCCATTTATTGGATCTCTGTGGTGTTCTGTGGATTAGGGTATTCTATCTTTGTATGATACTACTTTGCCTTTTCTTGATTGGTTTCGGGTGCTATTTCTGGTCTGAGTTCCTCTAAGAATTGGCTTAATTTGGATCTTTTCTTTGGGATGTGTTGGGCAATTTGGTTAACAAGGAACAATGTGAGATTTCGTTCAGCGGTTCATTCTCCACACTCTATTTTGGACTTGGCTTCAGATTGGTGCCACAGAAGCCAGAGTGCTCGTAATTTGAAAGTTTCGCCTATGGATAGACCTCCGGGTTTTAATTATCCACAGTCCACTTATGTGCTTTGTGGCACTATGACATTTGGATGTGCCTATACTATGTGATTTGATGGGGCTTGAGATAACAATTCTCATAAGGCTCGCGCTGGTTGGTGTTTTCGTTTGGCCTCTTCACCTCATTCTGTTAATGGTGGTGCTAAAGCTTGTGTGGCTAGCTCGACGCTTCATTCGGAGTTACTTGCTTGCCTTTTGGTCTTCAAAGGCTCGTCTGCGAGGGTTTACTCGTGTTCTTACTGACTGCTTGATTGTTCCTCGTCTTCTTTTGAGTCAAGATACAGAGGATGTGTCGGTCATATGGATTCTACAGGAACTCCGGGTCATTATGTCTTCCTTCGCTACCTGTCATATTCGGAAGGTTCTTAGGACTTCTATTATAGAGGCCCATTCTCTTGCTAGGGCGGCATGTCGTCGAGAGTTACTTTGTTTTTCTTTTTAGTTTTGTTGTTCGTTTTGTGTTTCCTTTGTCAAAAAAATAATAATAAATAAATAAGTGATTGGAATGGTGCTTTATACGAATGACTTTTTGTTTTGTTTTTTTTTTTTTTTGTTTTAAGAACACGGTTAGTGCATTTAATTCATAGAAAGAGTGTCCAACATTATATACGAAGAAATCTCCTCAGGTATGAGATATTCCCACAATTGTTCACTACCATACGACACTAACCTATCTAAGTGGTGAGCGACAAAGTTCCGATCATGCTTAACATGTAACTAAAAGATGGAAGAGAAACACATACTAACAGACACAATATCTTCAAGAATACCATCAACAGTTGCTAGAGATAAAGAGTTATTTTTCATCTTTGAGACCATTTCCAAAGAGTCTGCCTCAAGAATCACATCACTTAGACCATGATCCCTCGCATTTTTAATCCCAAACTGAGCTGCCATGCTCTCTGGGTCTTTGCTACCAACGGCTCCCAGCAAGCCTTGATCCTGCGCACTGCTGAGAACAGGACATACCCCCTGTTGTCTCGAGCTATAGCTCCCATTCCCACCCAACTTTCATCAGAAATAGCAACATTGACATTAATCTTCACTACACCAGCAGGGTAAGGCGACCATACCGTTCTTCCAGCCGCCTCGGGAGTTGGTTGAGTACCCCCATATATCTTTTCTGTGTATACACCAAAGTCAGCTACCAACTTGCTATGTCTAAGGAGAACATCTGCCATCTCCCACTAATTTTCAAAGACACATTTGTTCCTATGGAACCAAATAAACCAAGTCAGAAAAATAGCTCTCTGATAGATTTCTTTCGGGAGATTTTTTGCCCAGTGGAGTAACACTTCCCTAAACGAATCGGTTGGTGCATAATTAAGAGCCTCCTCGCAGCCACTCCTAACCCAAAGTTGGTGAGCACAGGGGTATGTGATCGATAACAGCGTGAACAACTGTTTCACTCTCAGACTTGCAGCAAGGACAAAGGAAATCCTCAATTAGGTGTCTGTGATGCAGAATGCTTCTGGTTGGCAGGGATTTCGTTCAGCACCTCCACAAGAAGTGACGAGTTTTCAGGGTGACCTCTACCTTCCAAAATTCAACCCAGAGTTGCTCAAAATCATCCAGCGGATGTGATTTGCCTAGGAGATAGGCATACCTCACCTCATAGTGGCGATTCCTTAAAAACGCCCATGTGAGAGTGTCAACAGGCTTTCGTTCGCTAATTGGGATAGCAAAAATAGCCTGCTTATCACAGTCATTAAAGATACTCTCAATCTTTTCAATATTCCAGCAGCAACCCGTGTCATCCATCAGCTTATTCACCATGGTGCACATATCTTCTCGTCTGTCAGTGGTAACAAAGCGACTCTCATCAGTCACAAGCCAAGGGTCATCCCATATATTCATGGTGTGTCATTCCCAACTCTCCAAAGCATGCCTTCCTTAACGAGGGCTTTAGCACTCCATAGACTCTTCCACAAATAGCTCGAAACCGGACCAAGTGCAACCTAAGCTAAAACATAGAAGATTGGGGGTAGTATTTAGCTTTTAGCACGCGACTAACTAGAGAGTTTTAATTAGTTGCAAGACGCCAAACTTCTTTTCCAAGAAGTGCATAATTAAAAACCCCCAAATCTCTAAACCCCATCCCCCCAAGGAATTTTGGTTGACATAGAGAATCCCAGCTTTTCCAGTGAATTCTCCTCCCCTTCTCATCCGAACCCCACCAAAATCGTGCCATCATACCGTGAATCTCTTGAATCAAGCCAATTGAGAATTTATACACACCCATAAGATAGGTTGGGATTGCTTGAATAACTGACTTCAACAAAACTTCCTTTCCGACTCTTGATAAGAGTTTCTCTTTCCAACCTTGAACTTTTTTCCAAATTCGATCCTTTATAGAAGCAAAAACCGCTTTCTTCGACCTTCCCACAACAGTTGGCAAACCAAGGTATTTTACACGGTTATCAACCATTTCCATACCAATAATGGAATAAAAGTGATCCTTGACTTTAAACGTTTAATTGAGTGTCAATTGCTTGTTTGCAATTTTTTACATTAACACATATGCCTTCGTAACATTCATGTGCTTGTATAAAGTATCAATTTTTTTTTTATTTTTTATATATTTTTTTTATAAAGGGTCCCAAAGATGAGTAATGAGAAACGATCTCAAAATTTCCTAAAATCAAGAGAAAAGCTCTAATAACATGAATTATCCCTCACTCTCTCTATAGAATATCAATGCAATAAAGGCACCTACATTTTGAGAAATTAAAGTAGACCATACCTATAAATTTTAAAATAAGAGGAAAGCTCTAATTACATGAATTATCCCTCACACACTCTCTCTATAAAGTATCAATGTAATAACGACACCTACAGTACATTTTGAGAAATTAAAGTAAACCATTACTATAATTTTTCAATAAAACACCTAAAAGAAATAATATAGTTTTGTATAGTAGTATTCTCAACCTAAAAGAAATAATATAATGCCAAATGCCAACTGGCTTATGGATTCCAGTGGTACAGGAAGAAGAGGCCAAGGAAAAAAACATAGGTGTAAGGACTTCTAACTAGTTGCTAAAAATAAATGACATCATGCCATCATTATTGGAAAAAAATAAGACATGAGAAAAACTGTACATGCACTCATCCATTACTTGACATACATTTTAGGAGATTTTATGATACAATGTATCGAGTATCCTAATATATGAAACCCTCTTTTACTTGTTATTACACGACATTATATTCTAATCTCAAACTCCTCTATTTCCTCCATCCTGATAGAATATTACTATTATCCCGTCGGCCATTCATTCGAAAATATGGTAATGTTACTAGCTAGATCATACAACATAGAAGTTGTTAGCAAGCAATTCTGTTTAAATAACATTATTAACGTGATTATTAATTTTCGATCATGATCGAGGGTAACACATGATGAACTTAGGCAATGACAGAAGTCTCTCTTGATATTTTCTCGGAGTAGATTTCAGCCCTAACATCAGATTCCCAAAGCTCAGGTAATGCTTCCCTTAAATTGTGAATGCTTTCCAGTGCATAATCAGCTCCTTTTGGCCTGTGAGAAGTTCCAACCTACGTGTATATCCAACACATTTTTCCCAATTTAATAATAAGATCACAACAAAGTGTGGGACCCATGTTAAGGAAAACGACAAAAAACAAAGTTTTCAACAATAATTTTCAGAAATGCATACCAGTACAGTGTCAAGACCCACACGTTTTCCAGCCAGTATATTTCTGACACTATCATCAAAGAATATCTGAAATTGACAAAAAAATATATTCCAATCATTAGGATTATAATTACTACTACCACTTTTTTATTTTTTTTTAATCTTTTATCTTCATGTTTCACATTTTCATCGATATATAAACTTTGATTGTACTATATCTATGTTACATTATTTTTAACGATTTGATGTAGAATATAAGTAAACAATGTCTAATAGTTACAACTAATGTAAAATAGAGGTACATAATATATTATATTAAATGTAGTACTTACAATAATTGATGTTATTATTTGAGGAAAATAAATAAAAATGATATAAGGATGATAAAACTTACTGTTTTTTGAGGGTTTAAGTTGGCGATTTCAAGAGCTTTTTCAATTGCAGATGCTGATGGTTTACAAATAACGGGTGTTTTGGGCAATGTAGTAGCATCATTTTGTTTATTGGCAAAATGACTCATTATGTCAAAAAGTTGAGTGTCATTGTTAGTATTGTTGTTGTTACTTGAAAGTGTCCTCGGCCTTGTTCCTACAAACTTAATATCATCTTCGTCGTCTGATGCAAAGTTTTTGTGTGTCGGGTTTAGAGTCGCGAAACAAATGATACCTTCGAAGCAATCCTCTAATCCGAGCTTTTTTAATGCTATAATAGCATGAGTCTCATCCGCATTGGTGAATATCTATACCAATAAAACATTTAGAGAAGTTAAATTAGGTCGATATTCAAGAAAAAAGATTAATTACAAAGATCGACAAATAATAATAAAGTAACAAACTTACAACTTTACGAATAGGTAAGCTTAACAAAAGGCTTCGAAGAACCGGGTCGGGTTTTAGGTTGTCATAAGGTAATCTCCCATGAACAAAACTGTGAAAACCACAATAATCACAAAAAGAATTTAGATGTTTTGGTTTTACTTTAATTTATTTTTACTAGTTACTAAAGGAGTAATAACGTAAGAAATTAAATGGCAAGTAAAATATGAGCAAGTTGTGTGTCTTACCTATGATATTCTTCATAGTCAAAATCATAGCCAATTGCCTACATAAATAATACATAAGACCATATGTTAACATCATTCTTAAAGTCATCAAGTCTAATGTAATTTAAACTATACAATTACGTGACGTAAGTACATACAGAAATTAAACATACCCTAAGACCAGCCATTGTTGTGCCGTAGTTTTTGTATAAAAGGTTAGACAGATCATTTATCTTACTCCTGTCTATGCCTAACTTTTCAACCATATAATCTGTTCAAGTAAGAATTTGAAATAATAAAAAGATTAGAACTAACATTTATTAATTCAAAGATAATTAGTTTTACTATAAAATAATAAATTAAAGATACGGGCGAAAAAAATACTGGCACTCTAATCTATCCGGAATTAATAGTAAAAATTATTAGTTGAATTTCATTAACATGCATGCAACATTATAGGGTGACTATTTGTTTAAGATAAAAGCCAAAGTAAGAACAAATAATCAAAGGAGTATATTATTGATGGAATAAACCTAACCTTGAATGTTCTTCAGAACTTCTTTTGATAGCCCGGTGCTAAGAGGGTACAAAGTATCATCTAGATCTGCAAATCCAAGAAAATAGTAAGTACAAAATTTAATATTATAACTTCCTACAAAAAAGAGTTTAGACCAATTCAATTTGATGTTTATAAATTTTTTAATGTATGAACCAACCATCCGACTATATCACGGTGAAATGGTTGTATAAAGTTTCTCATACAAACAAATAAAACATTAAAACTCAAGCCTTTTTTTTTTTTTTATTGTACGGAAAGTACCTTAGAGGCTTAGAGGATGGATACTTTGTATTATGTGAAGTATTTTTTCCTTTTTATTATTATTTTTTTTTTCAAGAGAATATGTATTGGTAACTTGGTAGTGTTGAATTAACGTACTTTAGGATCTCAAAAGGTCATTCATTTTTTTTATAGTATTAATTATTTAGATTTTTGAACGAAAAACTTACCAAACAAAAGACAGTCATATTTTGGGGCTTGTACATATCGATCCTCGTATGCCATTGCTATATTTTAAGCTCTGGAAATGTAACACAGATAAATTAGTTAAAATAATTAAAGGCAATTTACCCATGAAATTTTATTTCAAAAATGGTACTCCATGACATAATATCCTTTTTAGACTTAGTCCAATCAAAGTGACAGATTAAAGTAGAATTATAACAAATTTGTACCAGAAATAAATGCAAGATAAAGAAACAATATTATAAGTTAGTAACACCAAATTAATTTTGTCAATATTCTTTGCAATACCAAAAAATTCATTTAAAGATCGTCTTATCAGCAATTTTCATAATTTTTTTTTTTTTTTGGTAACATCATAATTTATTATATTATTAGACTTAATTTATCAAAAATAAAGTCACAAAAAATATGTTGACAAAACCAAAAGTATATGACTATCTTAAGCTCTTGTATAAGACGGTTCGACAGTCATACTGATACAAGAATTTAAGCATAAGAAATCAATTAATTACTCCATAATTTACTCTTTTTTAAGAGAAGTAATACGGAATATTTGATTTAATTTTGATAAATCAATACAATAAGTGTCCTTCTTAAGAGTAAATATAATATAATATAATTTCAGTAAGAACAAAATATAATGTATACTCTGCATACAAAACTTGCATGCCTTAATATTTGGACTTGAAAATATTATAATAATATAACACTTTAAAAGAGAATTTCAGAAAAATGTATGTTGAAAATGGAAACAAAGTATGATTCTAAGAGTAGAACATACCAGATTTTGAGAGAGAGAGAGAGAGAAGAGATTGATATTGCAATTTTATGCAAGAAAGGAAGAGAGGGGAGGGGGAAGAAATTTGGTGTACAGAAGATTCCTTTTATAGGCAATTTGTTGGGTAGAAATTTCTACATTTTTTAATAATTTTAATTAATTAATTTGGGCCAAGTGCATGTCATTGCTTCTACAATTATTTTATCCAGTTGATTTTGATAGGAGCTGTATTTTATTTATGCAATCATTTAATAGAACAAACTAAAATGACAAGAAGATGAGAACAAGGCCAGTTGGTTCTTGAGCCTTGACTTACCACGTGGATGAATCAAACGCGTTTCATTAGAGCTTAACTTTGTAAGTTGACTGAATTGCCCAGGGTGAAAAGATATACCTCCCATTTTTATTTTAGCAATGCACAAAGTTTTAGGAGAATAATCGTTCAAAAAAGTTTTAGGAGAATAATATAATATTGTAAGTGGATAAATAAATAATTAAAGTTTAAATAAGATAGAAACCTTGAAAAATAAAGAGTGTGAAAGGTTATATTTATTTTTATTATTTAAGGGGAGACCACGGAAAAGAGAGAAATGATAAAATAATTTAAGTGTTGTTTAAGGTAAGAGAGAAAAATGATAAAATATAATATAAATTATAAAGTTAACAAATAGAAGTGATGCATTAAAAAAATAATCTACAAAAGAAAAGTGATGCAAATAAAAAAACGGAGAGAGTATGATTTTTTTTTTTTTCAAAGGTAAGGAGAAAGACTCTGATCGTACCTCAACCCTTATGAATTTTTTTTTTGTTTTATTTGGTTCGATACTTGCAGGGTCGGATACTTTGAGTGTGAGGGGAGAAAGGTAAACCCTCAAAGTGTCTCTAATGATGATTAAACCCCCAAACTCAATGTTAAAAGGTATATTCCTTAATCCTTACCATTAGACCATACCAACTTAGCTTGGCAATACTATCTAGAATGTACCTTAAAGATTTTAGGTGAAACTTTTAGTAAATAAGTCAAAGTTAATTTGCTTGGTATTCTTTCATTCACCAATTTCTTGATGTATTTTGGCCGGCACAATATTTAGTATATTTGATTTAGATAAAGTTATTGAGAATGTCTTGTTTTTGAGACGGTATTCATAACTCTAATTCCTTTGTATGGTCTCATATTAGGAGAGAAAATTGGGTAGCTCATCATCACGTAGCTAGAGTGATGCCTTTTAAGGTTAGAACGAGTATGCATTAATCATTGTCCATCAACAATAATATTTAACTTAAGAGCTCATACAACCTGATCACACTCATCTAAAGGCATAAATGTAGGAGATTTTGTTTCAGACTTTGTAGATTGATATGTAACTTAATCAAAAGATCTGAAATTTAGGAAAAAAAAACCCATTTTTTTCAAAGGTTGACATTCTATACCTAGCATCAAGTTCTATGGATCCAGCATTAAAAGTCAGACAGAAACATGCTACAAATATTAAACTTGTAAAGCTTTTATAACTTAATTTCTCAAGAAGCATGTATAACATTAGACGACCTTTGAATTGTGTCAGCACTTAAATTTCTGATCCAATACTTAAGAGTGCTCAAATAGTCTAAAATTATTAAAGCTTCTACCACAACAATAGCCTGATTAGCACCTTCCACTTGTACCTCCTCAACGAATCGACAAGGGACCTCTACAATAAACTGAACATCCTCATCATCTGAGTAAATCTCCATGTCAACAACCCCGCCCTCGACATTAGCCACCACACCAGACGTCTCTCTTACAGCACCCACAGACCTAGAAGCCTTTAACTTCGAACCGACTTCCGCCTCACCATCGCTACCACTGTCTATTTCTATAACACCAAACACAATCACTATCAACCCTAACCCTCTTATGGGATTTTTTTTTCAAGACCCTTAAATTGAGACATTTCAGCCTCCAACACATCCAACTCCCGCCGTAAAACTTTACATTTCCGATAAACCTCTGTACGGACATGCAAATTTACGGCTAAAGAATCTTCAAGTTCAGATTTTCTCCTAGCCAACAACAAAAAATACGATTTCTGATGTTCGCTTGAACCATGAGGGAACTTTGACGAAGAACCGCCATTAAAATCAGCCATTTTAAGCAGAAGATGAAAATTCAGAGGAACTCAAAGTTTTTGTCTTTGAAATTGCTTTTGGGAAGTAGAATTTCACAAAGTAAACCATTTATGAAAATAAATAAGTACAAAACTGAAACCATTATGTCAATTTTGTGTCTCTTCGTCTGCAATTTGCTACAGTGAATTAGTGCAATTGAAAACCATAATGCATGTCTCTCCATATTCTGTTTGTAATAACACTGCAAACGTACTACACAAGATAAAGAATAAGAAAATTCTAAAAATAGCTAAAAAGCTGAAAATATACTATGTACAATCAAATTAGTACAAAATTAGCGTACCACAAAAATATCGCACCGAAAAATCACTCGGTAATATAGACTTCTAAGTTTGAATGGTTCACTCGGAATTTTAAACTTTTTTCGTCTTTAAAAAAAAGGCACAAAAGTTTCCAATTACAACTAGCAAAATATTTACACACACTTTAAAATCACTTGGATTTTTTATGTTTAATTTTTTTTTTTAATTTTATTAAAGTAATCATAACTTTTACGCATAACTTACTTACACAATACGAATAATATATTTAACCAATACAACAAAAAATAATTATTGTGAAATTGTAATACCACTTATTATTATAAAAAAATCTTTATTTCAATATACAATACAAATTATTCCTACATTTAAAGGGAAATTCTAAATTCTCAAAGTATATACAGAAATAAAAACTAATAAAAACAATCAACAATATCAACACTCGATATTAACAGTTTAGGACTATCGCGCGCCTTGTGCGCGATGGGACAACTAGTATAGAGAAAAAAGAAGGGTCGAAAAAACAAGATAAGATCCGAATTAAATCGGAATAAAACTCGATAGACATCAGTTTTTGCGATTTTGTTTTTATCATATATTTTGATCCTGAAATTGGAATGAGATAAATAAGATATCGTTGGAAAGCTCTTGAAGTCTTCTTTCTAACCCAATTAGAATCTGATTAAAATATTTTTTAGAATAAAAGATATGAACGAAATAGTAGGATGGTGTCGGTTTTGTATAGAGTTTGATATTTCATTCATATCTTTTCCGTTATAGCTCGTATTTGATATTATACTATATCATTGGAAAGATAATTTCAAGGGATATCCAACCATATAAAATTTGGATAAAAATTATGAGGCAAAAAAATAATATCTTACTATCTTTGAACGTCTTTAAATTCAGATAGAATTAGGATTTTTAAAAATAAAAGTTTTATTCAATTTCAAACTCTTTAATCTTATCTTTTAAAAAAAGAATAACTAAGACTCTTAGAAACTTATAGAAGCTTCCAATTAATCCTAGTTGGTTTAGGAATGGTATTAAATAATTTGGACCCTCCACATGATCATTGGGTCGTAGGTAAGGTGGGCTTAGGTTCCGTTTGGGCTTAGTTTAATATTTTTGCCATAACTTATTCGTTATAACTTGGATTTGGGCTTATAATATATCGTCGGAAACTTCTTTTCAATCCCATCCAACTATTTAATCATTGGACTCAGATTATGGACCAAAATAAAATGGACTAAATGTTTTTATAAAAAGGACACGAATTGAATGATTGTGAAGGACACGAAATGAATTATTTTGGGTTTAAAAGCACAAAAAGAGGATAATAAGTTATGGTTTGGGGAAATGGGCTAGGAATTGGTTAGTTTATGAATTGAAATATGGATTTAAGCACTCCAAGATTAAATACTCAACCCGACCAATAACGGGTGAAAGGTTGTTCATCATCGGGTTTGGTTTTGGGAAGACATTTTTAGGTGTCTACAATTACCCTTAATGCGTGCTTTGCTTGCTCTAACGAGCTCTTACTTCAAAATCTGAGTATCTCAAGCGCGTAGACCACCAACAATAGTCCACCCGCAACAACGACCTAAATTGTCTCTTACTTTGAGTTTAGTCGAGTTTGGACTAAAAACAACTACTCGAGTTTTATGTGAACTTAAAGGTTTTCTCACTATTATGGAGATGCTTTTTTGAGTTCCAACAAAAGTGTAATTCTCAAATCCCAATACATGGGAATTTATAGAGAATTCTCACAAAACATTCTACTCTCCCATCAATGTGGGAGAACTGGTAAAAATCATTTTTTTCATTTTATTTTAATTCAAAAACAAAAGAAAAATATTAAAGCCATAATTAATCAACAAGTGGCAACAAGGAGGGAGAGTGTAGGTGAGGACCACAAGGGGGGAAGGACAAAAGCCTTTGCCCTCCAAGGATCCCCAAACCGCCTCACTATCCCTCACACAATTCCAATCACACGACACCACGTGGCGCCCATCCTTGGGCACCAAGGCGTGCTCAACTAGCGGCCTTGTGCCTAGTTAGGCTTACCTGTACGCGCATATGTGTGATGCATGCAAGCTGCCTCGACCCATCAAGCCACGCATGCTTGCGGGCTGCTGGACGAGGCATGTGCCCACCTGCTGCCAGCAATGCTAGCATGCCAGCACATCGCTAGCTCGCTACCACTGCTAGCCATTGCACGCGCTAGTGTGCTTGCTAGCATTAGCGTGCTAACATGCCGCGTCACGCACCAGCTTGCAGTGCTAGCAGGATCGACTTGGTGAGGCGCGCATTCTAGCTGTCATGCTAGCAACACTTTCCCCTAGCACTCGGTTTGCACGGGGCATTCCGATGGCAGGGGTGTTTTGGTAATTCTTGATTTATTATTAGATTTTTACCGTCTTGTCTTTTATTAATTTGACTCAACTTGTAACGCTCGGTCTCGACGCTCCTAGCTCGATTTCCGACGTCTATGTTCAAAATACTAGAGCGACTCATTATTTCCTTTTAGATTTATTCATCGTGACGAATCGTTAGTTTCTTAGGGGTGACTCGAAGGGTTTAATCAAAATTAAGTTGTAATATTAATTATACATTAATATTATTGATCGGAAGCGGCCTCCAACTAAGTATTTGGGTCAGTTGACCTCACT